TTATACATGTGATCATAGAGTGTTTCACCTCGATACTATCTTGAACATCATCATTATGATGTGATTGTCCCACCATTCCACCAAGTACTACTAGGTATTGTCCCCAAAATGCTTTGGCATTCTTATGCAAAAATTTCCTCATTTAAGTCATCGTCATTCCCCCAATAGCTATTGGTTGTTGATGATGCACATCATAAGCATGCCACCCTTCTTCTGAAACATTGGGTATCCTGAAATTTCTCATGGGGAGGGGCCATGTGCTACCCATTGCCTTCTTTCACCCCAAGCCGGTTGAATCACCCCCTATACTTGTCTTTGATAAGGTAGATATCTCGACCTATGAGGTGGACCAAGTCTTTTTTGGATCAATGGATTCAGTCTCACTTCATCCAGTCTAAGACTGCTTCTACATTGGGCACATAGCTTCTCCACTTCACTTAACATCCTAGATGCGCCCGAGTTGACCTGCGTGCCCCTCGACGACTCTCCTTGCTCGAGAACCACGTTGAGGATCCCTTATTTCTATGTTGTATCCACCACCAGGTTGAAACGCGAAAGATCAATATTGGAGAAGTCTGAGTTAACCATGTTGACAACAAGCAGGTTGGGGAATGAGTTGGTATCCACCAACATGACATATTTCTTTGGTTCAGGGAACTTAATGCGACTCTCCTCAACAACATTCTGCAATACATTGCAAAAAATCACACATGAGTTAGTGGAGTGTGACATACTATTATATCACTTACAATATTTTGTCCCTTTTAAATTTTCCGGGGGGGGGGGGGGGGGGGGGGAGATGTTATGCCCCTTTCAACTTGACATGACCATCTTTGTAGAGTTGGTAAAAAATCAAGTTAGCTTTAGAGATATTGAGGGAATGGTACTCCAGTGGATGTATGTGGCACAATCTAATCTATCCCCTTGTAGTTCATTGTGCATGTTAGCCAAAGGAGCACAAACATATGGCTTTTTTGGAGTTATCGCAACCGCGTTCGCCTCCACCTCATTGGCCTATTGGCCAATATGGTTAACATGATAGTCGATGTTGGGAAAGTATTGGCCTCTTTAGGCACTCCTCCTATCACTACAACAAATTCGGCCTATTAGGACACAAAATTTATTTTGTCATTTTCTATTTGTCACAATATGTACGGTGATATGACAAAAATAATATATGTCCTCTTTGGTATGCCTAATGTGACAAAAAAAAAACAGTTTTCATAATAAGTTTTCATTTAAAGTGAGTAATGTGACTAATATTTTGTGTCACAATTAATTTTGTCAAATTGGCGTCACATATCGGGTTGTAAGAGACTCAATAGTGACAAATTTCTTGTAGTCAGATTAGTCCGTCATTTAAAGTGAGTAAGGTGACAAATATTTCGTGTCACAATTAAGTTTGTCAAAATATGCATCCCATATCGGGATGTAAAAGACACAAAAGTGACACATTATATCGTCAGAGTAGCTTTGTCATATTATGTCTTCCTGAATTGTTTAAATGACAAAGTATTTTGTCACAATAAATAACAATAATCCCACGACGAGCTGGCAAAAGGACATGTTCGTCATAATATAGTGATTTCGGCTTTGACAAAATACATGCTTGTCATATTATGCCTTCCCGTGATTTTATATGTGGGCGGGAAAGAAAGCTCAAATTGCCACTCTCCCTAAAACTTTTCACTATTGAAAATTTTTAAGTCCCTAACAGCCCACCCTTTAATTTTTTGGGAGTTGCTTTTATTTTTCATTCATTCACAATATAAAACCCACAAATAAATCATCTTGCAATTCCTCTTTCATCCAAGATATAGTAACGTGAGTTCTGTAAAAAAAAAAAGATATAGTAACGTGAGGAACCAAATCATCAATTTTACCACGGTTATTTTGTAAATACCCTAGGGTTTTGAGGCTAATCCTGTAATTTTAGAAATTAAATGATTAAAACACTACTTACCTCTCAAATCCGACGCAGTGCCAGTGATACCTACATCTTCTTTCCCCTGTCTCGGCCTTGTTGCCTTTCTTTCTTCTCCTTTTCTCACGATGAATCGACCGAACTATAGCGGCGGAGATCGACGACACGAGTTGGAGGCGACGAAAGTCACCTCGGATACCCTAGCAGAGGAAGGTAAGCTCTTTGAATTTGATGTTCAAATTGGCCTATTGAATGATCGGAGTAGAACTATCGTGAAGGAAATTGCGGGTCCTGAATGAGTTAGACATCATGTTGAGATGAATTTGATTGTTAGGAAAGAGATTGATTGTTTCATTGAAGAACACAAGGGTAGTGATTGGTTGGATTCGGTGTTTTAAGGGGGGACTGTGTTCTTATTTTAGACAGCTCTGGCATGTGTGATTTGCATCTCATGGTCCGGCTTTAGATAGGGATATTTTCTTTTGCTCTAGATTGATTGTTTGATTTTATCTGTGGTTTTTATCGTTCCATGTGAAGATAGCTTAGGTGAATCCTGCCCACTAAGCAGGAAAATAATACTCAAACGGTTTGAAGATTAAGACAATGGAAGTGGGAGAAATCAATGGGGTAACCCAACTGGTGACTACTTGGAGCAGGACAGCAAGTAATAACACACTCTTTCACATTTAAGGTCGTCAAACTTTGCCCTCAGTATGATACTCTACTGGTTGTTGTATTTACATAAAGGAGCCCTAATTTGCTTAATTATATATGTTTGAAAAATATATCGGAAAAGCTCCAGAACTTGGTTGACCCGTTCCCTTGGAAACAGAATATGGAAGAGAACTTGTATTTTCTTTACTGCAAATTGATTTCTTAGAAACAAAACACGTTATGAAACTTGATTGCATTAACTTTTTGGCTTTCTCTAGAGTTTTATAGATGTTTTTCTTCTTGGCAGTACATTAATTCTTATTTTAAGAGCCAAATGTTGTCTATGCGTGTGCTTTGTGTTCTCTGGCGGTAGGGGAGGTCCCCTGCTGATGCTCATTCCACTTTATATGCTTGAGAGTTGAGATGATGAAGTAAACCTATAGGTTTTGGGGTTAATAATTCTTTCAATTTGAGGTAGGTATTATCTACAGATTGTATGAACATATAAGCGGTGGCGGCAACAGCAGCAGTGAAAACAGTATGCCAGCATCGACGATGGATTCTGAATTCCTAGATTAGTTTGTTTAGGACACCAAAAATAGTTAGATGTGTAACTAGTATTTGTTTGACCGGAGTTACATGCTACAAGAATATTATTTTTTTCAACTATATGTTATTCAATATATTGATGAATAAACCATATTGATCACAATATGCAGTTATGACAAAATACGTTTGTCCTAATATACAGTTATGGCAAAATATATTTGTCACACTATGTAGTTATGGCAAAATATATTCGTCACACCATGCATTTATGACAAAATTTGTTCGTTACAATTATGTGATGTCAAAATATAATGGTGTAATATGACGAACAATTATGACAAAATAAGCCAATTATGACAAAATTAATGACAAAATAAATCGTCATAATATTTCTGTTTGTCACAATAGTCTACCGAGAACCTCAGCTATATTGAAAGCAAATGTGATAATTTTGTTTTAAATTTTTGTCACATTTGACCTATCTTGACAACGATAAAATGACAAATCGTTGTGACAACAACTTTTGTCATATTATACCTAATGGTCTCGTCATAATACGTCGAATTTGTTGTAGTGTATTCTCCTCTTCTTAAAGAAGAGATTCATATCTCACCGCACAAGACATGAGCTGGAACAAGTCGGAGAACTCTTTACCTTGGATTTTTTTCCTTAACTCAAAACTCAACCCCCTTGTGCTAACTTGACAAACTCTCTTTCTGTCAAGTTGACAAAGCAACCGTTATGAGCATTCTTGAAGTTTGTCAAGAAGTGCTCCACAGACTCTCCTCTCTAGGTGCATCCTTACTAAGTCGGATATGGAGACCTCACACTCAGATCTATAGAATTGAGAATGAAATATTTGCTCCATCTTTTGCCATATCTTGCTGGAGTTAGATGGTAAGTTGACGTGCCTAGCAAAACTAGGTCCTGTCAATGAGTTTCCAAATACTCTTAACTTAACAAAATATCCTATATCTCCACGTTAGGCAGTGAAACGTCCAATATGCTCCACAGTAGAGTGGCCCCTGTCCTTATAAATGTGGCAAACTTGGTCACCCTAAATCCCCTCGGGAATGAGTAGAGTATATCTACCCACTCATGAAAACCCTAATTCAAAATCTGCAAAACTAGAAAAAATTAAGAAATCTCGATAGCGATTGCAATGCATGTACTATACAATATTTGATTATCCGTAAAATAAATAATTATAAAAACAAATTAAACATTCAAATTTTATCCAAAATCTTAAATGTATAGACAACTCGGCTAAGGGTAGACAAAATACCAGTGCATGTGAATGCGAGCTACCTATTAGATACTCCTTACTTCTTATAGATCCTTCTTTTCCTTAATGGATAATTCTATACATGATCTTTTTCCTTTTGGAGTTGTTTCCTATTAAATTTGATATGGACCAAACCATATAATCCTTCTTTCACCATTCAAGATTCTTCTTCCCAAATTTTGGTTTATAAACAATATCTCTCTCTAAATACACTCTTTTGACACGCAAGTAAACTAAATCCAAATTCACTCTATTGCCATACTAGCTACATACATTTGCATCATTCATGTAATTTGATAAGCACTCCCAAACTACCGTTTGAGATTCTTCTACCCACATGATTACTTTTCAAATGTAGTCCATGAACAATATCTCTCTCCAAATCCACATTTCTTAATTTGCTTGTGTCATACAAGTAAACCACATAATCACCCACAACGTTATCCATACTCACCATCATCACCACACTAGCTATATACATGCATCTTCCAAACCAAAATTTTGTATGCCCTCGAAATCCATCCTTAGTTAAAAACAGAATCAAGATCTCCTTGCTCCAAGAGAATGCCTCCGACGAATTGTTCGACCATGTTCCTAGTTCTTACAAACCTTGTATTGGTATTATTGTTCTTAATAACCTCATCGCCGTGCTTTGCCCAACAAACCGGTAATGGGTCGGTCGTGGCTCTCTTTGCGTTCGGCGACTCCATCCTAGACACCGGCAATAACAACAACCTTTTGTCCGGATCGAAGTGCAATTATCCACCGTACGGGAAGGATTTCCCAGGCGGTAGGGCTACGGGGAGATGGGGAAATGGCAGAGTTTTCTCCGAAGTCTTGGGTATGTATAGTAAGGCCTTACCTCTTCTCTCTCCATGTGTGCTTCTCGACACTTTGTACTCGATCAGTATATCATGGTTGTTTGTCAAAATATTCGTATCTCTGCCGGTATAACAAGGTTCAACTGATATTAACAAAAACAGGTTAATTGGAAGATTACCATTATGAAGCGGTAGCTAAAACCGATAAAAAAAGGATAATTTCAATTTTTTTGTAATACAATATTTATCGTGTTAATTTTTTAACAATTTTCTCATATATTTTATTAAAATTTACCTAAGACGATTTTACCTCGATGGGAACATGCCACTTGCTAAACCTTGAGGCGGTAAATAACTAAATATGTATGCAGCGGAGGCTGTGGGAGTGAAAACTTTTTTACCGCCATATTTGGACCCAGCCCTACCCACCGGCGAGCTTCCGACGGGGGTGTGCTTTGCCTCCGGCGGGTCTGGCCTCGACACAGCTACCTCTAGCGCCACACAATCGATACCAATGAGGGAACAATTGAGATACTTCCAAGACTACATTGGCAAGCTGAAAGGCCTGGTTGGAGAGGAGAAGGCGAACTCCATCTTAGCCAACTCATTGGCCCTGATTTCCGCCGGAAACAATGACATGGGCATCGGCCGGCTCGCCTCCGGTAGAGCCGTGATCGGCGTCGATGGATACGCCGACCTTCTCATGACATTCGCCACCGATTTCGTCACTGTAAGCTTGAACAACTCGACACACCCATAGTATAACATAATACTACTCGTAGTCGTCGTATTACAAATAGATGGATTAGTGATTGATGTTTTTCTCAACTTTATTTGCTGACGTGGACTGATATATGGAACAGCAATTGTATAACTTCGGAGTTAGGAAAGTGGCGTTCATGAGTGCAATTCCAGGGGGATGCACGCCGGCGGGAAGAGCGGCCACCGGCGGGTTGGGGTGTGCGGGGCCCAATCCATTCGACGGCGCCAGCGTTTATAACACCAAGCTCGCCGGCACAATGCAAGCTCTCAATTCTAAATTATCCGGCGCCGACATCGTTTATCTCGATGTCTACACTCCGTTGCTGCGCATCTCACAGAACCCCCTATCTTATGGTAATTAAACCATCGAATAGTATCCGTCATTTTAATTTATATTGCACATTTTTCTTAATTCTTGATTACAAATTTTGATACCGTGGATGTTTATCTAATGTATCGTATTATTTGTGTCGATTTTTTTCTAATCATGCATAGATACAAATGTCATTGAACATAACATTTTTTTTAATTCGAATTGTGTAGTAATACTTTTAGAGATGTTTATTCACGCATATATTAATTTTGCTTTGTTGCTGCTTTCAGGTTTCCAGAACTCGATGATGGGATGTTGCGCACTGCTGGGACCGTTGTGCAATATTGCTACCCAAGTGACATGCCCTGATCGGTCCAAGTTCGTGTTCTGGGATTCTGTTCATCCGACTGAAGCCGCATACAAAGCCGTTATCGCTCAAATTCAACAGAAGAATGGCTATAAATTATTTTAATGTTGAGATTATCACTCATTTGTTTTATCATTTGGTGAGATCGTTGATGATCGCTAGAGCATTGATGATCAACATATGGCACTAAAATTAATAATCGTGTTTAATTTGGTTCAAAGAAAGAAGTCCAGAGATCATAGCTAGGTCAAATGTATCATGGCAGTATGGCACATTATATGTTTTTCTTTTTCCCCCCTTTTCGTTTGTTGGTTAGGTACTCGGGTAAAAATAGACAGTAACAGTAACTATATATATTGCCTAAGTAGTATTTTTATCAATCTTTTTTTATTTAGAGAAAGTGTCTTCAATGTGGTTGCAAACATTCAATGAAATTGTCATCTCTAAGTTTTCCTTTTCCTTTTACTTCCATTCCTGATTGGTGATGAGGGTAATGTAAATACTGAATTGTTAAAATAAGTTAGTTCAAGCACCGAAACAGTAAGAAGTTTAGGATGAAGGACTTATTTGTGCACAGTCTTCTGAAAAAAGGCCACCCCGTGGGTCCGTTTTCTTTGCCTCTGCCCCACTGATGACTACGTGTAAACTCGGAGCGAGTTGAGTCCACTCGGGTCATTGCCGATTCCGCCGCGATTCAAAAATCAAAACCCCCACACCCCGCAAAAGGCCAAAACAAAGCTCCACTCTTTCCGCCGTGGTTGCACTTATTCCAGTTCCTTCCTCCAACTGCCGCCGACTCTCTTACTAGGGTTTCTGCGGAGGAAGAAATGGATCCCGTCGTCGGCAAAATCAAAGGCTTAGCCAAGTCAAGTCAAGACTTCTTTGATGGCCTCTTCCACGATCGCGCCAAGTCTTCCCGCCGCAAGCCGGTAAATTCCCCCATCGGTCATTTCTCCAATTCGCGGCTTTCTTCTTAGTTGCGTTGAAGAAATCTGGAATTTCCATGAACTCCCCTCTGGTTTTCTTACTGAATCTAGACAGTGAAGTCCAATTTATCCTGTGTCTCGCTGCTCTCGAAAATGGGACTCTGTTGAAAATTTTTCGAAATTGGTTGAAATTTCAAATTTGTTTATAGCTAAGCAACCTTCTCCACTCCATGTTATTGGAACGGGATTCCTTTCGAATTGAAGGTTGTTGTCATGAGCTTTATTTGACCTTTGTGGAATGTGAATCTAATGTAGGTTGAGATCCTCAAGCGATTGCAGCGGGAATCATTCTCTGACCTAATGAAGCTTAGAGACAGGCAGGACAAGCTCGAGCGACAAGTCTCTTTCCCGAAAATTGCCAAGGGAAGTCCTTCTCAGAACTCAGGTGGTACTCATGTAATGGGAGAGATCAATAACCTAGGTGCTATGGTGCTGATGGGCGGAGACGTCAATCAGTTTGATCACCACGATTCACTTGGCCTTGCTACAAATGGTGGTATCAGGTCGAAGATATCCTTTGAGACTCCCATACGCGAGAATGATACACTCGTAGCAGACTTTGCCACGGGAGGTTGCAATATTGGCGATAGCTTGCGGAGCGCGACGCTTAGTCTGTCAAAAGTATTGTTCATGGCGAACATTCGTGACTGGGTATCAGCTAATTTAATGCCGGTTGGTGCTCAGTTCAGGCATCTGGGTTTCACTATGGATTCCTCAAATCAGATATGATCGATCTTCACATATACTACACCTTCCGCACTATTGAGCTGCTGATTATGAAAAAGCTTGAATCGATTGCCTTAGCTATAGACGAAATGCGGTATTCAGGAGCACCAGCATAGTCAGAATCTTGAGTCAAATTTCAAAAAGGCTTACCCTTTACGAGTTTACTAAACCAAATTCGATCTATCCTATGGTACTAAAGCTATTTCTCATGAATCTTATGCATTTTACTAGTGGAATCAACGAACTTGGTAAATCATATGGTCATGTTATCTTAAATGTTTGATAGTGTTAGGCCTGATCGAAAATGAATATGGATAAGATCATATGATCATGTTGTATAAAAAGTTGTAATTGTCAAACTTTATATGCTGTTATTGCTAGTGAGTATAACTATTGTACTAATGATCATTTTATTTAAAATGTTTGATAGTGTTAGGCCTGATCGATAATGAATATGGATAAGATCGTATGATCATGATGTCTAAAAAGTTGTAATTGATAAACTGTATCTGGTGAGTATAACCCTTGTACTATTCCAGTACAATTTGCTTTGTCCACCATCTTACTTCAGCATTGAAAATGAATTGGTCTGTGTTTATTACAGATAAATGGCTTTACTGAGCTTTCAGCTATGGGTCCTCCTCTCGTGAATGAATATAATGGTTCAGCCATCGGTTTCACAATGAGAAAGTCGAATCTTGTTGCTTCATTGGCTCACTCTGTATCAGGACTTCTAAAATCAGACCTATATTCATCAGACCTTTACTTCAGCACATTTGGCCAGATTTCATGCCAACTACCAATAGGAGTAAAGTTCTCGGTTTCCGGGTTCCACAAACAGCCTAAATCTTCTCTCGACTTGGTCAACCAAGGTGCCCTCACGATCCCTGTTCACATTCTGAATCAACAGCAAAATGCTCCTCATGACCCGGTGACTAAACCACTGGAGACAAACTTGTTTGAACCGACGCCAGCCAGGTGCATTGCTGTGAAGCTGGAAAGTCACATCGATGAGAACACGATGATCGAGGGTTGGATCCAGAGGAATAACTCGAATAGTTCGAGCATTTGGCAATGGGGTGCGAGAACCCTTGATGATTCGGAGGATGCACTTGGATGGGGGTTCAGTATTGGTGGAGATATGGATAATGGTGGAAGTCGGTCGAACCGATTTCGAGCTGAGGCCTACTGGAAGCTCAATATTGGGAGGAAGTTCTGCTTGAAGCCAGGGTTGGCTTATGCAGGGACTGGTGATATGAGGATGTATGAGCTCATGGTCAGGTCTAATTGGTCGTTCTGATCTATAATTTGACTTGGGTGATTGTAAGAATCCGCTTTTTACAGTGGCTAGGTGAAATGGTGAATCATGCAACGATGCAAACATACACGTAGGTGATCTATTAGTATTCTAAATTATATTATTACTAGATAGGTGGTGGCCGAGCTCCGCAACGGCCTGAAGTTGGTTTTATTATCTTTGGTGGTGGCGGTCAACATTCAATTTAATAATTTCGATTATTAAATGATATTTATCTAAATTTAAGTGGACCTATTGATTATGGGTAGGGTATGACGTATATATGTGTTCGGAAGTTTGTAGATGGGTTTGGATACGGTATGGATATTTTCATTCATAATCTAAATGTGTATGTGTTGGGTACGGATACTCATTTATTCGAGGGTGTTTTAATTACACATTCAAAAATTAGACCTATTTGTAGAACTTCAAATGTTCAGGTACTAAAATGTAATACACAAAAATTTTAGGTTCTAAAATGTAATGTTCCATCAATATTTTGAGGACTTATATGCCAAAAAAAAATTATAGGTTATACAAACTGGAACTCGTTTAAAATTTCTCTTTTTTATAAGGAAACTCGTTCAAAATTTCACGTCTTCAAATCCCATAGTGATAAATGACATTTGTCTAAAAAGTAATAACCATATATATTAATTTTTAATTGGACTCAACATTGAGCTGAAAAATTTAGTGGTTTATGGTTCAATTATTAATTCTCTAGACGGTTGGTCAGTCGTGCATGGACTCGTTCATAGTTGTGATTAGAATACATAAAAATAATACTATACTAATTAGGATTAGACGAAGAAGACAAAGAAAAGAATAAAGAAAAGTGTTATGGAAGGCGAGTGAAAAATGAAAGGAAGAGTAAGTAGATGATGAAAAGGTCTTGACCAATTCATTTAGTTGGTCGTCAATACAACAGTCAACCCTTTTCATCGTAGCAATTTATTGATACTTGCTTATGTACTTGTCGCATTTTTTTTGTTACATGTAGTAAGTAGAAGTTTGTTTAGTATCCCGTAAATGTACTAAATGAGTTTATAAATTCGCTTTTGCAATATTTTAGAATCATCTATCTTTTATCATTTATTTAATGTTTCACGTAATGAGCAAATATAAATAGGTCGAATCTTCTCCTACAGTTGAGTGATACAACATATTGTATGGTGCAAACTAAATTTGTATTTTTATGTTATGGTGGCTTGGATTCATTGATTGGTTCAAAAGGATTGGTGGATTAGATTCAAGTGAAATCTATATATTGGACCAATATGTAAATGTAAAAAATTATAGGTACGAAAATCTCATAAAATTTAGATACCAAAACATAATTATTCAATCATTTTACATTAAAATTAAATTTGGGATATTAAAATGTAAAATGTACATTATAGTGACTAAGTTGTAATTTAATTAAATTGGGATATCAAAATATAATAATTTCTGCAACAGTAAAGCTACTTCACCTTTATATATATTAACTAGTTCTTGTTATGTATTTTCTTTGTTATATGGTTATAGTTTCTAAATCGGAATTACTATAAACTGATATAATTGTAGTAGCATGGTTGTCAACGAAAGTTGAACTTGATAAATATTGCTGGGAACCATTTTAATTTGGTGGCCGAATGCAGCTATCTTTACATGTGGGTTTTGTTATTTATTATAATAAGCAACGAAACTCACTTGTTTCTAGACCACTCTTGCATATTTATGTTGGGCCATTTTTGTCCGAATCTTTTTGAGAAATATGTATATGTAAGGGCCACTTTTTTTTATCATTAGCCCACTCCATCTCATTATTTTTTTATTGTTTGCTTGTGAGATTTGGGTGATGGATTTGGTACCCAAATCTCAAGTATCATGGAATTCAAACAAAGTCATTAAAAGAGTTAATCGCACTAATCTTCGATCCCTGTAGCCCAAGACTCAATGGGCTATTCACCTACTCACATTGTACTATTCATTGACTTCTTATTGGCTGTTCGCCTGTGGTGGGCCCCGGGCATCTGCTTTCTCTCACACGCGGGTGGCTGATGCTCTCTGTTGGTGGTGGGTTCCACTTGGGAGCTCCCTCTGACGGCGGGTTGTTTGCGATGGAAATCGCGTTGCCTTCGAGTGCACCTCCATCTCCACTTCTCTCTTGATTCCTCTATCATTTCCTGACTCACGGTACGATCGAGGCTTTTTGGGAGCTTTGCCTCTATGATGAGGGAAGGCTACTAGCCTACTACCTATAAATGCTTGTGATGGAGACTGAGCGACGCTGAGGGAGAGAGACTAAATAGGTGACATATCTTTCTTCTTACATCTCTCTCGCTCTCTCATTTCGTTCTCACAAACCTCTCTCATCTCTTTGTCCTCTGTTTTCTGCTCCTCTCCCATCTCCTTTTCCACTGTTTAGTGGCGTCGACCGAGGGAAAAGGAAGGGAAAAAACAATCGACTGGGAGTAGAAGGAAGCCTTGGCCGGTTCTGTCCAATCAAGGCAGGGGAAGGAGAGAGGGTGATATGATGGTTTGGCGGTGGAGTGAAAGCCATATAGAAAGGATCAAGACCCATAGCATTGCACTCCGTTATCCAGGTTTTTTCCCCTTCCTCCTTCTTCTCTCTATTCTGCACTATCCACAAATAAGAACTGGAGTCTCTCTCCAATTCACATGATCCCATCTTTCCATCTTCCTCATCTCTCTCTCTCTCCCTCTTCTCTCCCTACTTCCTCTGAACTGCCAATAGAATCCGCTGAGGAACCTCTGCACCTTTATATACGACCAGCCAGCTAGAAGCTGCCAGTTGAAGTGGAGGAAATCATGAGATCCCGGTGAGCTATGAATCTATAATCTTTCATTTCGTTTTTCTCTCCTATTTTGCATCAGTGGTACCTTCATTCGTTGTCTCCTCTCTTTAGGGATAGACAGGAGTCAACGATATGCTTGCTTGGGACGATGACGCTCCGATTGTAGTTGCTAAGGGTATGGAGGTGGCCACGGGAATCAGGTAGAGAGAGGTGGGGAACCCCTAAGCGATATGGCGACCAGATTTGTTTGTTCCAGCGACCAGATCGGTTTTGAGTGTCCCTCATCGACGAAGAGAAGATCCGAAGATGATCCTTCTTTCTCTCTCTCTCTCTCTCTCTCTCTCTCATTTCGGAGGCGAGGTAGTGTTGAGCGAACAAGGTAGTTCTCAAGCCGGAGCATGCTAATATAACACTAGGTTCAAGATCTGCAGTCCTTTTTTTTCTTTAGTTACTGAATGGTGATTCCGTGACTTTTTCCTTCTTTTCTCCCGTCCCCCAATAAAAAATGAGCGGGGTTTTCAGGTTGATTGATTGTCAGGTTTCAGAGGCTCACGGTGGGGTTGGGGAAGAAGCAGGTTCGTGGATTTTGGGTTTTAGTTTGAGGTAATTGCTCTCTCTCCTTCAATCTGGGTTTGTTTTCTGATTTCTTGAATGGTTCGAACTCTTCCTTCCTGTCTCTGAAGGTACCTCTGATCTTGGGGATTACCTCACTTATTTTACTGATAGGGCTTCAGAGGACTTAAGTGGTAGTAGAGTCTTCACAGGTTCGTAGAGATTACCTACGCCAAGATACAAGCTGACCCGGTGAGACAATTAATTTCATAATATTATCATTTTAGCTTCCTGACTGCTCTACTGACCGGTCCTTTTGGTTGTCCTCCCCACTATCCTTGCTTTTATCAACAATTCTTTTGGCGAGTTCAAGTCACTCTTCCAACAGCAAGTTGGATCTTTGTGGTTTCTCTATTTTGACGTTCATCCTTCCATTTCAAGTTTTTAAGATTTAGTGTCTTTTATTAGTTTTCCTTGATCCAGATGTTTTTGTCAGATTTTCTGATGATACTCTCACTAGATCCTCTGTCCAGAGCTGCAAAAGATGCCAGGGATGCAAGACGAAGAAGAAGGTAAACCACCATCGAAATTTTTGTAGCCTGTTGTTCCCAGTTGAGCCCCCCTCTCGATTTTTTGTTCCCAGATTCTCTCTTTCGTATCCTAGTGGCACTTTGCTACATTGAGGACAGTTCGGGGTGCTGATTTGTGGACTTATGCTCAGGGAGGAGCCATGTTGTTTCATTGGATGGCGTCACAATAGATGGTCAATCTATTCGACAACAATGTGCTGCTGCAATTGATCAAGTTAGAAAGTTGTTAATTTCTTGGTCTCCAGGAGTAAAGCTTTATTATGGGTGCTTGAAATTTAGTCTTTTACCTTTGACTGTGGTGTTCTCTTTGGCTCGAAACCATGTCTGTTGTCCCAAATTGATGTATTGTTACATTTCCTTCGTCATTTGTGGATAAGTGCAGCAACTGCTATGTTGTCTCTTTTTTTGTTTTCTTATGTAACTTCCATCTATAAAATCCTCATTGTATGAACGTTAGTTTGGACTTAAGAATACAGTCCCAAAAGCCACTTTTCCCTTTGAATCTCTTGCATTCTCTGCTTTAGATTGGTTCCTAATGGAACCTCAATCTTCTTATATTCTTTCGTTACTAATAATACAAGTGCTCGCCATTAGAGGTTCAAAGATTGCATAAAAACGTTGTGGGGAAGGTATGAATTAATTCATTTTGTTGCCTTAAGAAAAAAAGGTTAAGCAAATGGTGTTCCATTTAATTTCCCTCAAGTGATGATAGTGAAGATTGTTAGTTAGCGAACTTTACTGCTCTGCATTACATTAGCCAGAGATTACACAAATTAAACGTACCCCGCGGCAGAGCGCGATCTACTCCCTAGTTGTTTATTAAGGGACACAAATCCGTGGGGTCCACGGATTTTGACCATTTTTTTAGATCCAAATTCATGGACCCATGGATTTGCAAATCCCACATTTCATTTGAATTTGATGATAGAAGGCAAACATGTGAGACAAATCCATCATAAATCCATGATAAAAGATCAACTAAAAAAACAATGTACTATTCCAATTCAATAATGCAACAAATCCATCATAAATCCAAGGGTTTCTAAAACTCAAAACCCTC